CGCCCCCCCCAGCCGCCGCCCCTCGTGGGGATGGCTCCTCGCCGCCCTGCCCCAGACCGAGCCCTGCAGGGCGGAGCGGCTGGTGTGAAGCGCCGGGGCACTGGCGAGCCGGGCTGCGATTGCTCTGTCACTTCGGTGCCGGGCTGCCTCGGGCCCAGCTTGCGGGGAGGGGGCCGAGGGTCACGTCTGGGCCCGAGAACCAGACCCAACAGGGATGTTTTGAGTCAAGGCGGGACCAGAATTCCGCCTCTGCCTTCGTGCCAAGCACCCTTTCCCTCCCCAGCGTCCTCCAGCCCGCAGCTGGGCCGGGTGTGAATGGGGGAGCCCCCGCAGTGGCATCATTGGGCGACCAATAGCTGAAGTGTCAGCGGTTAGAGTGGTTGGACGATAAAGCCAAGAGTTTCCATCTGTCCTAAGGAGATAGGAGCAAAGGCGAGATAGAGACAGGCACAGGGGACAAGATGGTGGCTAGTAGCACTTTTCACGTCAGGGATTTTCAGCCCGTCACCTAAGAACCCCCGGCATCTCCCCCGTGCTCTTGCTCCACCCCTAGACCCAGCAGTAAGTCACAGCTAATGGGAGAGAGTTGGGGCCAGAGCTTCTGGGTTGCCTTCTGAGAGGACGTAGGTCCCATGGGCTAGAGAGCAGCTGGGGAGGCAGGATTTCGGCTCTTTGCTTTGACTTGTGTGACTTTCCCTGTCTCGGCCTCGCTTCTCTTCTGCAAGAGGGTGAAGAGCAATGTGCTATTTGTTAGTATTGCTACTGCAGTAGCGTCCCATCCCGATCGGTACGATGCACAGTGAGGCAGGGTCCCTGCCCTGAAGAGCTGGCACACAGGCCGATAGACTGGGCAGGGGTGGGAAAACAGAGACTCCGAGATGTGGCCAAGGTCATCCAACAGGTGACTGCTAGCGCCGGGACCTGACCCCCGGGCTCCCAGCACCCCTTCAGCGCACGGCGCTGCTTCCCCTACTTGTCAGCGGGCGGGCAGATGTGCGCGCACGTTGTTCCAAGGCTCTTTCCACCAACCTGGCTTGCTGTGCGTCGTGCCTCCCTCTTCTCCCTCCCAGTCCTCTCCCCTCCCTTCCCCAGGTCCCTCCTTCCGTCGTCACCGAGTGGTGTATAAATCCCCTTCTCTGGCATATCCCCCAGCACGGCGGGACGGGAGACCCTGGCACTTTGGCCCCGGACACGAGCTGCTGCCACTGGCCTTTGGGTGCCTGGGACTTTGCGCTCCTTGGTCCTGCCGCCCAGTCTCCGCTAGCTCGTTTCCCAGGGGCTCCCGGGCGTTGCTTGGTGGGTAATTCCTCTGCTCCCGCTGCCGCACCAGCCAGGATGTCGGAGAAACGCGCGGAAGAGGCGCCGGCAGAAGTGGGTGCCAAGGTGAGCCCCAGCCTGACCCTGCGCTCGTTTGCTGGGCCCCCGTCCTCCTCGCCCCCTGGGAGC